AATTTTCAAACAAAAAGTCATATGTCAACTTATTATGAAGTGATTACAAGTGTACTTTCGTAATTATGATAAAAGGGATATTATAATAATTTTGATCAATTATAATAAGATGAGTATTTTATAATTATGGTACCAGAGACATTTTAGTAATTTTGACTAATTATAGGAGTATATTTCTATAATTATGGTAAGAGTAGCATTTCAATAATTATGATAGAAGGAGTATTATAGTCATTTTGGTCATGTGTCAACCCCTAATCAAACAATCAAATGGGCATTATAATAATTTTCATGAGAGATTACTTTAAATGTATTTTTATAAGGGTGTAATAAATCGAAATTATGCAGTGCAATACTCGAGCTTGACTTGAAAATTGATACTCAAAACTCTATTTTAATTTGATTGAGTATTATTTTTCATGTTCGGACTCGTTTTAAAGTAAAACTTGAGCTAAACTCGAATTCGTTCGATTAAACTTAAATCCTAATAAAAATTAATAAATAGAACCATTTACAAGACAAAAGCACTAAAATCTTTTTGCATAAAAAAACTTAATAGATTTGTAATTATTTTTTAGTAATAAAAAATTGCACTAAAGGAATAAAAATTAGTGGATTAAAGGATACTATTTAATAAAGTATATGCAACCATTTAAGAACATTAAGATTTAATCATTTAAATGTAAACATGCTATATTATACACTTAAAAATCTCAAACTCAGCAAAAAAAGTTGGGTAGGACTATTTGCACCTAAAAAAAAACTTTCAATACACCTCACAAAATTAATCAAATAGAAATTTACTTAAATATCCATTAGTTAATTACCTTTTTGTCCTTTATATCCTTTCTCAGTAAGTTATCAGAAATGAATTTTTGAAACCTTCTTTAATGTATCGAAAATACATTTATGGAAACTTTTTAACTATATCAAAAATTCATTTCCGAAAAGTATTACAATTATTCAAAAATTTATTTTTAAAAAGCATTGCAATTATTCGAAAATACATTTCTAGAAGTAATTTTTTACTTTAGTTTTTTTATTGCAATATTCAAATGGGTCTATAATGATTTCTTTGATGTATACGATGTTTAATTCCAATAATAAAAAACTTTTAATGTTTCAGCCAGATACTATTTGTTCAGTAACATTCAAAACGTTTATAAATTCTAACAACATACATTTGAAAGAAATCACTAATTGTGAAGAACGTTCATACAAATGGCTATTACACCATGTGCGATGAGATAGTCATGCTCTTTTGCACATGGTGTAATAGTAAATATGCAAAAGCGCCTTTTCACACTTTGGGATTCCTCTCATATGCATGTTTGTTAGAATTGCAAAAATATTACAAATGTTATTAAACGTATAGTGTCTAGTGGCTGAAAGATTATAGGTCTCTATAAGAGAAATTTCCAATTTACTAATGACATAATGATGTCAATTTTTGTGTACTGAAAAGCTATTTGGTCTCCATTGATGACCAAAGGTTATTGTGTGCTAAAAATCTATTTCCGAAAGTTTTTGAAGGATTTCGAAAATAAATATTCGAAAACCATTAAAAAATTTTAGAAATATACTTCCAAAAATGCTCAAAGGTTTTAGGAATTGAATGGATTCCAAAAATGAATTCCTAGTACGTTGAAAAAGTTTTCGAATATCCATTTTGGGAAACCTTCAATGCATTCTAGAAATTCATTTCTAGAAGGGAAGGCTCGAATCGCCATCCCAAATCACACTGTTAAACTTAAAATCTTAAATTTTTGGAAACTAAACACAAAATCGAACAAAAAAATAGAAAAAAATAAACAATTTATCTATTATTCTAAACTATCTAATATCAAAATCAAGATTGGGGGTTGATTTGGGGCTCTTAAAGGGTTTCAAGTTTCGATGAAAAAGACAAAAGGGGGTGGGGTGTTTGGTTTTTTAAGAAATTAAGGTTTTAGTTTGGGGTGGGAAAAGAAGAAAGGATGAATGTTAATAGTAATGAGGTGTGGAGAGAGGAAAAAAGGGTAAATAGCCAATCTCAAAAAAGTTTTAACTAAGAAAAAAATGATTTGTTTGTTTCTTTATTTACCCATCCACAACTTTTGTAAACTTTTAAAAATCTCAAGTTTTAGTTTGCTACTTAATAAATTCACCATAAGTCTTCAGGAACTTCAATGCTAATTTTTCACTTTTAACATTGGAACCAAAACTAGTTCAACCAAAACTTGGAAGCCAAGAACATCATTCCATTGAGCTCAGTCTAATAGCCATCCTTTTTATACAAAAAGAGAGTCACGATTCAAAATAAGAAAAACAATTAAAAAAATGAATAAAATAAAAAAGAAAAAAATAAACCACATGTTTCATCTTTCTTAAATAACCATCCTATCATAATAATGACATTAACAATTTAACAACTATTCAAGCTTTGTCACAAAAAATAAGCCATAAGATGTAAAAAACCAATTAAATCTAAAACAATTTCAAATACTACAAATACCCATAAAAATTTTTTCTTAATGTTAGGAAAAGAAAGGCACAGCACAAAGTAAGAGATGCTAGAAAGTGGTTACTCCTACTAGGATGGGTTGAGAATTTAGAGAAAATATGGGAAAAGAAGGAGGCATTCTTGTCGGTTAGGGGAAAGAGACTTGCGAGATTGAAAGAGAAAGAACAAATAAATTTTTTAAGGGACGTTTAGTACGTGAATTCTTAAACTTTTAAAAAAAAATGATTTAAAAAAATGATATTGAAGAATAATATATGATTCGTGAGATTTATTGACTTAGGCCCCATTTGGATTGCACTAGAGTGCCAGTTCAGTGTGATTTTAACAAAAAGATATGTCCGTTTCAACTTTTGTAGCCAAATGATATTTCAATGCAATTGAAAAACACTTGGTCATCAATTGGTCAATTTTGGTCCAGTTGATAATTGGCTAGTGGAATTTATCTTTTTTACATTTTTATCTTTTAAATTTTACTATTATAGGAAAAATATTTTTACAATTTTTTTGTTTTTAGTTAAAAAGTGTAAAATAAATTTGTTAATTTAATATAATAAATAATTTAGTGTTTAATATATTAATATATAATTTAAATAAAACTTATTATTTATTAATAAATTTTATATAATAAATGAATTTTTTAAATATTAAATAATTTAAATATTTTATTATATACAACTTTCAATCTAATGTACTGAATGGTTATTTTTTTTTTACATAAATTCACCTCACTGCCATCACAACTTTTGCATCTAAACCCATGTCCCACTATTGATTTTAATCTTATAGTTACAGTAACCAAATCTTACCTTCATTAGAGAATTTAAGATTTTTGTGTTTAATTTAAAGGAATGTAAAATCACCTAATAAAGTTTTTTACTATACTATTCTTGATGACACATGAAAAAAAGTGATATTCATAACACTGACATGTGAATAATACCTAACACATGAATAACACGTTATCTTTGTCGAAACTAAAAAATCTTGAAAAATATTATATATTTTTTATTTTCAACAAAGATAATCTTACAATCCTAATTGTTATCCTAACATTGATTGTCCCTTTGTAGAGAAAATGAGTAGATCAAGCTTTTAAGTAAATGTATTTTATATGTTATAAGTAGCAACATCTATAATTTCAACATTTACTTTGTTAAAATTTCAGAATTTCAAAAATATAGCTTCAATATCTACTATATTTTTTATTTTAAAAATATGTTCTTTAATAAAATTTTACAATTTCAAAAACTACCACATTTTTATCTATAAAACTTAGTATTTATTGAAATTATAAATAATAAAAATTACATTTACTTAATTTTAGGAGAATAAAATAGATAATATAGTTTGTAAATGCATTTAAGTGAGGGCCAATGAGGTAAAATTTTACTTTTCCTTCGGAATTTAAAAAACTTAGTCAGAAAGAGAGTTTTTACTCACCTTACTTTACCCTTTGTTGATGCTATTAAGAATCTTATAAAACTTTAGGATTCACATTTTGTGAATCAAACTAAGAAATTAAATTATAAAAAGCAACTTTCCCTCAAATCAAATGTCCCCTTATAGTTTTCTAACTTACCTATATATATGTATTTTAAGGGAAAAACTATAATTTCTTAATAAAAATAATAATATATATTAAAATAAAAAAATCGAATAGGTTGGCGAATTACTTGAACCAAGTACTAAGATGAATTCGATTCACTTGGTAAATCGAGTTGCTCAAATTTAAATTTGGCTTAGACAATGACCGAATCAAATTCAAATTTTTTACGAGTCGAACTTGAATAACTTATGAATATGTGTATCATCATTTTCACCCTTATATTCATATAAATATTTTATTTGCATGCCCCAAATTGATCTTAGTTTTGGGTTATTTTCACTCTGGGCCATTTTGATTTTTAAAATCCAATCCTGGTGAGTTTGGAATTTCAACAAAGTGGATCAAATTATTTGATTTGAATCAATATTTGATAATTTTTTAATGAGAAACTATCAAATATATTACCAGCTTAGTTTTTTTTTTTTTACAAACTTGATTAATAAAATGACATAGGTCTTTTAAAGTATATTTAAAAAAAATAAAAAACTAATTAAAAAAACGATATATGTCATTATATTAATCTCACTTATAAAATTTAAAAACTATAATAAATATATCAAATGATTTCTCTTTTTTAATATGCTATGATGGCAACCATATTAAAATTCAAATGAGTTTGGGATTTAGGCTTTTTTTTTTTTTTTTCTTGAAGCTGATTTTTAAAACAAGTGGAGCCTTACTTAGTGTCAAGTTTTATGATGTTTAACTTTTAGAATCAACAAGTTTGGGTCAATTTAAGTTTTGTCCATATGAAAAATCAGACAATAAATTTATTACTTTGTGTTGTAAAATATTAAGAATTCCTTGACCGAGACAGTCTAGTTCTTTTTGGATTTTTTTTCCTTCTTCAAATTTCAGGTAATAGTGAAATCTTGACACCCACAATCATCTCTCATCATTTCCCTTAACAGCGTCTCCTTTATTAAAATAAATTCACATAATTGTGAAGCAAAAGATATGCAACGTATTGCCAAGCCAATATGAATAATGCTGCCTACACTTTCATACTAGGTGGGGGTGGCAAAAGCCACCACCATTAATCTAAGTAGGAAAAATAGGTTGAGCAAACATTGATATGCTTCATGGGGTTTGTAACATCCTTGCCGCCGGCATGCTTCACAAATTCTTCTGGGGAAAGAAAGTTGCCATGGCAGACACAAACTATACTCACCTGTCCTTTCATGTATTTGTAGAGAAAGCCTTCTATTTTCCTCCCATTTGGACCATCTCCAATAGTAGTTACTCTAGGCATTTTTTTCATCACATCCATCCCATCATCTTGAATGCAACCATTAGAAAGTTTAACCTTCTTGGTTGGATTCTCAGACTTGGTTTCATCAGGCTTGAGCTTGACAGATTTTCTATTAGATGTTGTCTCACATGTGATCAACCGTTTTACCTTTATTGGCTCGGACGAGGATTTGGAGTCGCTTGGAGCCTTAGGATCACCTGAGCCTTCTAGTCCTGCATTGGATTTATGCAATCCCATTTTAATATCTTTTAGGCATAAGTATCTAAAGATGGTGAAAAGTATGTGATACAGGGTGAGAAAATAAAAAATGCTTGTTGTTGATGCTGTTTTTGGTGTCGTAACTGGCTGCTTGGCTGGAGACTGGCCGGAAAGCAGACTAAGAGGTTGGAGTGACTTGCAAGAGAAGGAAACGATCAGGGGGTGTCGGAGTTAGGATTCAGCAAGTGAAGGAAGGTGAGGCAAGAGGAGAGGCACCCAGTCAGCTTTCCGGCCGATCTCCAACAAAGCACCCATTCACCTTACGAAAAATACTATCCACATGTGTCAATGCTTCCAAAGCAGGGGAATTTCGCTTCCAAATCCATTTCACCGAGTAAGCTACATAAGAGCCATATCGGAAAACTGCTTTCCACAGCAAAATTCTCATTTTGAAAGTGCTATAAACATGTAGCATGAACAACATTTTACAGTAGGTTAGCCGGCTATAAAAGACAAGGACAGCATACATAAATATTGTTCATGTGAAAACCTTGTTTTGTAGGTTCCATCTGAATGTATACATTTTGTCCTCCAATGACTGTATGAGGCTTATATATAACTTCAATTCTCTCATAATGTAGCTTTTAAATTACATTTGCGAGGACAGACAATGAAGATTCTCTTCTTTCTGATTCGGTATTTACTCTATATGTATGCCATATTTCAGCAATTTTGCTAATGTACTGATGGCAATTCTTTCTGTCTTTATATGTACAAAATGTGCTTTCGAGTCCTAAAAATTTGGTATTCTAAAATATGGTACAAACATGATATAAAAAAGTATATAAAAATGATACGGTCTAAAATTTTAGTAATATTTAGATTAAATAAAATAAAAAAATATTTTATATTTTTATATTAATATAAATTATAATATATAATTTTCGTATAAAATATAACATTGAATATAAATATTTTACACTACACGAATACAGGAATTGCGAAATCTTTAAGCGATAGTGAAATGCAACTAGAATATCCCACATTCCAAGAATACTACAAGCCAAAATTAGAGCATACACTTCAAAAAATCATCATCGTAATTAACTTTTACCAAACTAAGAGAGAAGGTGTGGGAGAGGGGAAGGATAATGAAAAAGGGAAGGATAATATCATACCTTCCAATTTTCTGAAACCGTCCTTTATCTTATCAATGGCCCTATTCAGTGCAGGACTTTTAGCTGCAGAAGCTGCTGCCCATGCTGGAATTTTAGTAGGTGAGGATGGTGGTCCTTCCATTACCAACTTCTCTTTGTCACTGGCTTTCTTGGCAATCCTATGCTTCTCTACAGCCCTTTTCTTGGCCTCAACTCTCCTCATTATCCTCTGCTCCTTCACATTCACCAACCTCTTACTCCTGTCCACTTCTGCTGGCAATGAACAAGACCTTGCCAATGAAAGAAAACTTTTTGGCAATGACTTTTCGAACTCACTACAACGTTTCTTAAGCGTTATCACTCCTGCTATGGAAGATGATCTAGTTAAAGGCTTTTCTCTGGTGTTCCCACTGTAAATTCCACCAAGTGAGAGCCTGAGATTGAGGTCTAGCTCTGGGGGTCTCTTGTTAGGATTGGAGACTTGGGTTTGTTTCATAGTAAGTTTGTGTGATGAAAATCTTTGCAAAAGGTGTGTTGGTTGTTGTTTGTCTAGAAATGAAAACTTGTCCTGGATTACTTCTGCTTCTCCCATTGGATGAAGTTAAAAAACTGAACTTAACACAGTAAATACCTTGTTTCCCCCCCTTCTGTCAAAACAAAAAGAAGATAAATCAAAGCTAAAGATCACAGCCAACAGGTAGGTTCAAAATCAATTATAAAATAGTAAGCCATTAAACTAAAGTAATTAAAAATTTGGAAAAAGAAAAGCAGGGTGAAATATAACTAAAAATGAGCATAAAAAGCAGAAAAAAAAAACAATTTAATGAAAGAAGAGAATGAAAGAGAAACAGTGAAAAAGGTAGCAAACCCAGAAAAGATAAAGCTTCCACAAGGGAATAAGAGTGATGAAAATGCAGCAACTGAGACTATGGAAGAGTTGATTTGATAGAGAGAGAGAGTGAGAGAGAAGAGCGTGGTGTTTCTTTTCAGTTTTCCATAGACTACCAAATGGGGAACACCTTCGTTCTGATTATATTAACGACAGCACAGCTCAGAAAGACCACACGTGGTAATCATGTACGGTTACTCTTCTGTCTTTCAATGTCGCATGTTGCATGTTGCAAGTTGCAGCAGCAACGCTCAGTCAAAAGAGAAGACTACTTTTACAGCAAAAACATCTGTTCACTCTGTTACTCTGAACTTCATTGCCTGGGACCTGTTTGTGAATTCAACTCACAAAATTGGATGGTTAATTATCATGTCGTTTGAGGATAAAACAAAATCGGGTTCCTTGTCATAATTTGATCTGATCTTTCTTAAATGTGCTAACGTTTTCTTTTATTATTTGGTTGGTTATTTTGGATAGAAATAAAAAATTTTTCTTATGTTCTAATAATTAAAATTATGCTTAATTTTAATTATTTTTAAAACTTATGATCCTCAAAACCAATTAAAAAAATAATTTGGAAGATAAATTTTGATCTATTGTATATAATTGAGGTTTATGCAAAGTTTGATCAAGAGAGAGCACCCATAGTTTCCAGGTGGCGAACCACACCAGAAGGAAGCCAATAAAATTACGCGCCGTTAAGCTCGAGGCTTACTGCGATGACTTCAAAAAACCACGGCGACGTCGAGGTATTGGAAAAACAAAAACAACGTAAGAGTTGCGTAGTGTAGGGGCCCAAAAGTAGGAACCACAAGTTGTAGACCGGAGGGAGTATACAAATATAGAAAGTATGGACGCAAGGAAAGATGCCACGTGGAATAAAAAGCAGGAAAGTACACGTGGCAAAAAGATAAGATGTCAAAACAGCTAAGACAAGTTTGTCAAGTTGTATGCAAACTGGTCTCGGATTGATGACGTAATCCAGCTGTCCCTCGGCCCGTCGGAACTAGGGGTGTAACTAATGCTCATAAGTTGCTTGCATGCAGTTTGGATAAAATTTTGAATTATATTTGGTTATTATAAAATCAAATTTTAATAATTTAATTTATTGAGTAAATTGAATTTAAATAGTTTATGAGTTATATAAATTTGATTTGAATAAAATTTTAATTTAATTTAATTATTATTTAATTATTTTTAAAGAATTTAATTTATTGAATTAATTGAATTTGAATGTTTAAATATCTAATTTGAATAGTTTACGAATTTAATTAAAATTTAAAATTTTTATTATATTATTTAAATTATATTTTATAAAATAAATTTTAATTTTATTTAAATAAAATTTTTATTATTTTTAAGTTCAAATTTGAACATATAATAAATTTAAAATTAGTATGAAAATAAAATTATTTTATTAAATAAATTTAATCGAACGAAATTAAATAATTTAATTTTTGTTTTAAATTAAATTTAAATTTAAAATTTAAAATTTAATTAAGTTCAATTTAAGTTTCAAACAATAAATTTTAAAACAAACTCTAACTTAAATTTTTTATTATATCAACTCATATCAACTCCACTCAAACTTAAATTTCTCATTATATTAATTTAAATCGATTACATTACACTTTTAATTAGACGACGACAAATTTTTGTTGCTACGCCGACGAGAGGATTATGTCACCAACAACAAATCTCGGCCAGCCTTTTTTATTTTTATTTTTGCGTCGTCGGGAGATTTATTAAAAATCCCTTTTTATTTTCTTATCACCGTTCCGTTTAATGAGGTCATGTAAATGGGATCAAATATCAACACTTTCCATTATCCGTCTTTGACTTTTCCTACTCCAATTTGATCATTCAGAAGTGTAAAGCATACACATGATAACTTGAGCGGCGCTATTGCAACTGTTGAAATTTTATGAATACATCTGATAATTTTAATCGTGATATGATATCTATAATTTTAATCGTGATATCATAATATAATATAAAAATAATATGAATAAAAAAATATAATATAATATAATTTAAAATTTTAATAAAAATTATAAATATATTTTTATATTTTTGTGTCAACATAAACGATAAAACATAATTTTAATGTAAAATTCAATATAAATATATAAAATTTTAATATTTTATATGATAAAATATATAAATTATCAAATTTATTTATTAATATGTAAGATTTATCATATTTTGGTTGACCTTACTAATCATTTCAAATGTTCAAGGGAAGTGATCTCAATTGATTCTAAACTTAAAATTTAAATTTAAATGTTTGTAATTATTTTTCATATCTTGATATTTGAGTCAACTCTTTTGGAAGCGCTGAAAAAAGAAAAAAGGGTAAAACAGAAGGAAAAAATAAATAAAGGTAAAATTCATTATTAGATGTTCAATTATGATTAAATTTTTAAATGATTATTTAATTATTAATTTTTTTATTTAGTTCCTTAAATTTGAATACATACTTTTTTTTATTATTTAATTTGGTCCATAAGCAAAAGCTGCCTCGGATTTGTAATCCATAAAAAACCAAAACCAACCAAATGCTGAATTAACCCACGCTGCTTCATCCACCAACATTGTTGGATTAGGTTTCGAAACCAACTGACATCTTAGGGAAGCTGTCTTCTATGAAGAATTAACAGCCATGCATGCATCAGAGTTCCCAAACAAATCATCAAAAAGAATTTCAGCAATCTTCAGAATGAGTGCATTTCATTCAACTCAAAACATTTTGAAGCATATATTAGCATGCTACATAAAAGTTAGAAATCATCATTTGCTGAGTGTATCGGAGAGGGAATTATCAAGTAGGTTCCTAAATTTCATGCATAAAAGTGACAAATGCATGCATTTCCAAACTGTAGTGACAGAGAAAACTACACCATGCCATCACAGTAACAGAAGATGAGATTGCTCAGAAGCTCTTAATCCATCCTTAAATCTTTATATAGCCATAAGATCACCATAATTGCGCATTAGAAGAATTGATCCACCAAATAGCCCAGCAGCTTGCAGCAGTTTCTGCAAAAGAGGGTGAAAAACATCATTTCTCAGGATGCAAATGAAATTTGTTAGCTATTAACAGATAAAAGAAACAACAGATCAGAAACATGATTGTAGTATGAGGACTTTTACCCTGTTTAATTCTTAAACCTTGTAACATATTTCAGAGACAGATGAAAAAAATCAAATGACTAACAAATTTGCTCAAGTAAATGTTATCAGCGCGTATGTAATCAATTTGGTAAAAAATGATATCTGTAAAGCTTTTAGCTCATTATCTTCCAAAAGTTTTTCAGCTCCTAAGACTTATAGATCATTTTCTTTTTAACACTTTCCAGGAAAGTGACCACCAAAACCAATGGAGCCTGCCTGAGATCATAGTCAACAGATATATAGTTTGGCCACAAAAACCATTACTTTTCCTAAGGATGGAAAATAGAGTGAATTACTTAAACAAAAAATCCAACTAATGGAGGTATTATCTATCGTCCATCAAACTTCTCTCTTCATGTTGGTCTTGCCCAAAGACTTCTCCTTTGTATTAGTTTCTCCTGTTGTGTGCTATATTCGCCCCACAATTTGCACCTTTGGGAAACACTCTTCATTCCTTTCTATTTCACTGAATCCACCACAACTTCAGTAAAGAGCTAAGGTACGGCAGTGACAGACCCCAATGTCTCGAGATTCATGATGTACTTCTATGCATTTTTGTACACAAATTATTACTATATTTTCTCGGTCCCAAATACTGAGAAATTCCGCCAATGAGGCCCTGAGACTTTGAGGTCCCAGCTTCAAGTTCCACCATTAGTTGGTTTGGTCTCACTTTATCTTGGTTTGTTCGATTTAATTTAGTAATTTTTTATATGGATGTAATTTGTAACTTCATTTGTACTTGTAATGTCATCAAATACTAAAAAATTTCAAACTTTCAATAACTTCCAATCATGGTTGCCAATAAGTTTAAACTCTTCAAAACCAAAATATTTGTTTTCTTTTTTTTTTTTTTCATAAATGCCCAAAAACCCGATATCAGAAAAACAAACCCATGATCAAAATCACATTAAAACGTAGCTAAATAAAGCGAAAAACCAACAAAAAAAAAGTTGAAGACTGTGAAAGGAAGAGAATAAAAGACAAAAATTAAAAACGAAATACCTTGTTGTAAGCCCACTTTTCTTCATCGTGGACTTGAGAGCGCCAGAAGGCTTTGAGCTTATCCAGAGAGATCATGGAGTCCGCCATTGCTGCTCTGAAGAAGAAAAGTTCTTGCTTTGAAATTAGGGGTTTTTTCGGAGGCTCGAGGGAGAAAGGTTGGGGTTTAGGGTTTTATTATTGAGAACAAGTGGACCCTTTTTCAACTCTAATTAACACGTGGGAAAAATCAGCAACTGTAATTTTTTTACTATTTGATCAAGTTCTTAATATAAAACAATAAACTCGTGAGTTATTCTAAAAAAATATATAAAAAAAATCAAATTAAATAATATTATAATAATTATTGTAAAGTATTGAGTTTTTTTTTTTTTTTAAATTAAAATTTTTTTTTGCCGAAAAGTAGATTTGATTAGTTAGGAAAGGAATGAAGTACCACTTTGTGTAATATATTTACAATTAATTATAATTTGGTATAATTTTAATATTTTCAATATTATTTTTATAAAAAATTTTGTTGGACCATTAGGAAAAGATATAAAAAATAACGTAATTGAGATAAAATATTTAAATAGATATGTGATAAATTAAAAAAGTAAAATAAAAAATTAAAAAATAAAAAAAAAATTAAAAGATAATTCAAATTGTGAAAAAAATTAAAAATTTTCGTTTAAAATGATTTGAACATGTAAAATATGTAAATTTATTTGTGCACCACTTAAAAAGAATAAATTTTTAAATTTGGAAGGGATCAAAATTTTTAAAATTAAATTATGAAAGACATTAATGTAAGTAATAAATATTTAAATTATTTTTATATTATTTTTATAAAAATTATTGAAAAAGTATTTAAATTTTAATAATAAATTTTCACATAACATATTATTAATTCAATAGTACTTGAGTCAATTTTAAAATTAAAGGTGAAAAAAAAAAAACACAAATTCCCACACTAATGAAATAGTAATGGTTGTTTTTTAATTTTAAAAATAAATTAATTTATCAAAATGTTTGCATTTGATATTTTTATCATTTAAAATTTTTCTTGATTTGACATTGAATTAATTTATATCTTATAAAATAATTTTTGATTTTCTCAATTTTCTTATATCTTGCATATTTTATTAATTTAGAGTAGCCAATCATTCGTTGCCACATGAATATTAAATCGATAAAATTAATCCGTAAATAAGAATAATAATGGTTCAAATCGAATTGAATTTAGTTTGATTTTTTTTTATAATGTATAATATTATAAATTTTTTAAATTTAATTAAAATTTAAATAAGTTTTATTTTTAAATTGATCCAATCTAAGTTAAATTTTATCGGTTCAGTTTAATTTTATTAATTTTAAAATTTTAAAAATATATATTATTTTAATATAATTTTTAATATATTTAAATATTTTATATATAAAACAATTATTTTATTTTATAAAATTAAAATATATATATAAAAACTATTAAAAATATATAAATCAATTTTTTTATTTTTTACATTTTCATCCGAAATTCTATCCAAATTTATATATATTTAATATATGATTTTAATTCGAATTAAATAAAAAAATAAATCTGAATCCAGCTGAATATTACGATTTCAAATTTGCTTTCCATTTTTTCAATTTTTTTTCGTCCCTACAGCCAGGTGCTTTCAAGATCCAAGGTCGTTCTTCAAGCAAAAATCCCAACACCTAAAGCTGGAAGTTGGAAGTTGGAAGTTGGAATCCCAGAAACAGAAAAGAAAACCCAAAACATGGAAGCCACAGCTGTTTATAGCAGCAGCAAAGGAAGTCCGTTTCTCCGTTCCTCCAGGATTCCAAAGCCCAAAACAGAAAATCCTGCTACTTTCTCACCTTTTCTCATTCATTCAATCCATGGCATCACAGAAACCATTGCCTTCAGTTGCCAAAACTGTTGGCTCTTCAGTTCATTTTCAGTTCGACCCCAAATGATTTTTTTCAATGGCTTGATTTGAGTTTCAACAAGTGACTGTTTTGCTCTCACTTTGCTCAGCAATGCCTTAAAAAATGTATGTTGAGAAGATAAAAATAGGGACCTTTGTCACTGCATTCACCTGAACTCCATGTTCTCATCTCTCTAATCTGATTAATTGTTGTGTGATTAACTCAAAGATTTGTTTTGGAGTCACATAATCTGACAACACCAATTATTGCTTTCTGTGGTTTTATAATACCTTAATGATTACTAGTAATGACTTCAATCTTAGAATAAAGAACATATGAACCTTGTAATTTACAAAGAAAACAAATAAAAAAACCAGCCGATACAGTATAAAATATTATAAAAAATCGTTTATATGATTGACAAGAACTAAAAAATATGTTTGTGTTATATATCAATATAAATCGTGATATAATAATTTTTGAATTTTACATATATTAAAAATAAACAGATTCGAATAAACGTTTCAGCTCATTAGAATAAACTTGAATTCCAGAAAGCTTTTCACTAGCTAATAGAATTATCACCATTTTGTAACATGTATGATCAACAATAGCAATAAAAAAGCTTCCAACTTGATGCCATCGTAAGAATGCAAAGCTCGAACTCAACTGTTTTCCCGCTCGGCTAGCCAGGGTCACGGAACTGCCCTGTGGTGGCACAACCAGTGAAGCTACTGACAATGTGGAGAAAATGAAACTGCTAACTAAAGCTGAGGAAGCTGGCCTATTATCAGCTGCCGAGAAGTTTGGCCTATCTCTATCGTCGATAGATAAACTAGGTCTCCTCTCAAGGCATATGAATTTGGAGTCCTATCTGCAGCAACAGACCCGGAACACCAGCGCCAGTCTTGAGCCTGAGATTGGTTTTACTGCTTTTGGGTCCCTCGTGTTTACCTTGTGCCTGAGGATAACATCTGGGAAGAGATGTTGCAGGTTGTGGCGGCTTTAGTTTGTATAGCTGGTGGATCAGCAGCTTTTGCAGCATCAAATCTTGCAGAAATCAAACTAAATTGGGTAACCATCCTGCAGAAATGACCCAAACTCCAGAGTAAAGGTAATGGTTTTATATAGTTTTTCTGTGATATCATTGCAAGTTCTGCGTTTCGAACTAACATAATACATTCAAGTAGACTCTCAATAAAATTAAAAGGAATGCTGAATCAAACTCCAAAATCATGAGGCGACAGAGCATATCATGATAATACCAAAAATTTGATCAAAGAATCCTGAGTACATTAGTTGAATAAACCACCTTTTTCCTATTTCACGTATGCTTTATGAGATGCCGAGGGGAGGATAAAAGAAGCGAAAGAGTTAAAAAAAGAAAAGAAAAGAATAGCCTAATAGTCCCCTCATTAACAGTTAGTTCCTTCATTCCCTTTGTTTATATTGTCAAAAAAATCATTTGGTTATTTCTCAGCTAATGTCCAAGAAGAAATAGAATCAGGCTTTTGCTCCACTTTGACGGTCACCCCTTCCATTCTGATTAACCCACTGATAATTATCTCCATACCGTCCACCTGGACCCTTGGGTCGTCCTGAAAACTCACCCTGCTTTCTGAATTCAATCCTGCCATAGCCTCCTTGGCCACTGCCGAAGTTCCCTCGACCCCTGAAGCTGTCACTCCGAAACCCACCTTTACTCGAAGAATACCTTGCTTTCCCACTGCTACCAACTGCAAAAAACAGCAGTTTCTCAAGTTGTTATCCTAGTGCCAACCTTCGAGTACTTGCAACTTGAAAAATTGTTGGAAGAAAATGCATTTAAAAAAAGTCGAAGCTCCACAATTTTTTTTTTTTGTTTTTGTTTTTGTTTATGCCAGCCTGATATTTTTCAGACAGTATTACTTTCAAGTTTCAAACTGTCATTCAAATTAGGTAAAACCATTAGATGGAAACCCCTGATTATATCAATTATTTGCAAGAAAATTTGATATGAAGAAGTTGAGGAACAACACCACATCCCCACCAAACAAATATAACCAAGAGTTAAACTTACTACAACAAGCTAAGCCTTTCCTAACTATTGCATGGCCGGCTATACGGATCACATTGCATCAAAGAGACCTACTTGCGGCCATATCTTTCCTAAGCTCAGTACCATCCTCAGATGAATTAAAAGTTCAATTTGTGCAGAACATTATCATTAGGAAAAAAATGCAAAATTTGATAAAATTTAAGCGTCTTAAAAGCAATTTTCCCAAATAAATTTTGAATTACCTCGAGTATTTGTCCTCTTTTCTTCCACAGCAGCTTGACGACCCCCAATTGTAATTGGTGAAGCCTGAAATGCATTCAGCACAAACATAAATTTGAAAATATGCTTACAAAAACAATGAGGGGAGGCAGACTGAGACTAACAAGCAACTCTAAAAATCATTTTTAGTTTGTTGTATAGTGAAGAAGAGTATTTTAAAACCATCATGCAGTTGGTGACAAAGAAATATCAGAAAAAAATCAAGAAGAGATGCAATTGATATTCAACTAAAATACCTACAATCTATTTAAATAAAGAAGCCATTGAAGAAATTGTCATTTCTATGTTTTTTCAGTATGATACCCACCTTCCCCCAAAGAAAAATGAAAAAAGAAACCCTAAGTAGTGAATGTGATCCCTACTGAACTGTAATATACTTGGGATTAATTACAAAGTGCATTTAGGAAGTGTTACCTAAATTCCAATGTAGAATCAAAGTCCATCATTACTATCATAATTAAGTTTTGCTACAAAACTCTGTGGCACAGTTGAGAAACAAGCAAAATATGTGATGATATTGTAATTAAACTCTCGACTTAGGACCTTAGAATTGCAGACCGAGCAAATCCATTAATGTGAAATTTTTATGACATCATAAAACACCAATTAACTTTTAGTTGGTTTAAGCTTTCGACTTTCCAACTTAATTCAACAAGGCTGCAAATTGGTTACAAACTGAAAAGTGAACTACTATAAGGTTAAGGAGAATATCAGAACCAAATGTACCAAAAACAAAAAAAAAAGTCCCTGTTTCATGTCTACATACTGTATGAAAGTAACAGAAGAAAAGAAAGAGACACCAGATCAACGTGGATTTATTCTTTTAGACGAGCTGATTTAAGTACCTACACAAAAGGTAGAGTTTTCTTGAAGAAAGTTCTAGATTAAGTCATCTAATCAGATACTTTTCGAATGACTAAAAACTCACATTCAGGTAATTCCTACTCTCACTTGGAAGACATTGATCTAGTTTTGGGTTTTATGTCTTGTTTCTTGTTTTTGTATTTTACTAGTACTTTGTTATTGCTGAGGGGATGGGGGAGGTTAGACATAATTATATACTTGAAGAGAGCTTAACAGAGAGTACATTTATATTTCATTGCACCATTAGAGTAAACTAGCAATAGTTTTAAGAGGAATAACTTAGCAGATCTTGCCTGATATATGGCATGTTTTTGGTAGACTATAATTATGAATGCTGTGTGTAAGTGATTGAATGGAGGAGTGACTTATGACCATGATCATACAGCACCAGATTTATAACAGGATTAATAAAAGGTATAAGACAATACCTCAAGTGCACTCTGCACTGAACTTGCAGTCTCAAATTCAACAAAACCAAAAGTGAATCTCTGCTGCAGGAGGCAAGAATACACAAAACAGTAAGAACTGAGAACTTGAACTAGAGATGTCAACTAGGATGGAGAAGCGCAAATTGATATCTTTGTCAACCTTATTACTTCTGACTTGAATGCCATCGTGCTTAATGGGCCCAAAATTTTTGAATGCCTCCTCAAGTTGTGCAGGTGTTGCATTATAAGGCAAATTCCGTACATAAATGGAGTGTCCTTCAGCTTTGGTAAGAACAAAGCACTAGGTTTATATTTTAAAACAAGAAAGAATAGGAATCAAACATATAAAGAAAAGGATACATATGACATAACATTAACCATGTCAAATCAAGTATGCCTTCTTTATTCCCTTATTCTATAATTAATTAAAATAGAAAAGATATGGATCTTAACTTCATTGACAAAGAGAACAACTGTGCTTCTATTATCATGTGCAGTAAATGAAGTTAGCAATTACCTTCCTCGTTGTCATTGCTACTTTCAGCTGCATTATCACTGTTAGGTACTGCTGTTTCTGGTGCTGGAGCAGGTTTAGCAGAAATAATTGAATGTTGATCTGCAGGTGCTGCCCTCACATTATTGGTACGTACATAGACCGGAGAAGTTGCTGTATTACTTTTTGTTGCTTTGACCTAATATTTAATTCAGAGAGTTCAATTAAACACCAAAAGAACCACCAGAACATGAATGGAAAACAAAAAAATAACCATTAACATTAACTCACAATTGAAGCATATGATTTTTTTGGAGCATCCTCTGGAACCAGAGGAGCTGAATCAACAGCCGCAACACTCTCATTCTGACTGACAATGTTTTGGGGTTCAACAACCTCTTCTTCAATTACTGATCCTTCTTCCTTATCTAAGGGGTCACAAACTTCATCACCATTAATAATATCTTCCTCTCCTGGGTAAGTTAATGGGTCCTCTGCGAGATGTTTATGAGTCGGCTCTGGCAATTCCATGATTTGAGTTTAAAGCAAATACAACCACAATGCATAAAAAGAGAAGAATCAGGTCAAACCTGGTTCTGGTGTCAAGGCAGGTGTTGAAGCCTGTTCACCGATGCCATTAACTGGAACAGAGTTTTGCAACTCTTTCTCTTCAACGTATCTGAAAATATCATTTAAGACAAAGTAGCCTTTTTCTTGTGGAGCTAGAAAGAAGGTTTGTGTGAATTTCTTTCTCACACTGTCCTTCCCAGTTAAGCATCCAGAAACCATTACAATGACCCCTTTCTCAAAAGAGTCCTGAGCATCTGCAGTTTTTATCTCCGCTTTATAGTCCTCATAATTCAACGATAGCACCATCTCATTAATTGCCTGCTCCACTCAGACCATGTTCAAGCTAAGTATTAGTTAAAAAAATGTCTATTCAAGTTACAATACTTAATAATTATTATATCATATATAAGTCTCCAGAAACAAATAGTTGAAAAAATATCCATTACTAAAGTTAAACTTAAACATATGCATCTAAAAGACATAAAAAGCTTCACCAAAGGTTTACCTTGTTTCCAAACTTTTTAAAGTGAATTGTCAATAAAGGTTATCAAAAATTTTCTTGGCAATTATTCTCAATAACTCTTTATCAACTTAGTCTAGCAGCTTCATCTCATGTAAAGAACAGGATTCGAGCAGACACGAAAAAAAAGGTACGAAAGGAAAGAGGTCCTATATTTTGAATTCTTGACAACAATATGCTCATGGCAGTTCATATTGGAAATTATCTTAACTCCTAACAGACTTACTTGCATGCTTGTTACTGTTGTCATGTTGCCATACATATCTGGCCGACTTAAACGACTTGACTCTTGATAAAATCTATGCACCAGATTCGGCGATTGCTGAAGAATATGGTAATACTGCTCCACAAAAGCATTTCCAACAACTTGAGCACTGGGAGTATGAGTATCGGCAGGACTTCCTTCCTGCATGGCCATCTGCACAAAGTTTCAAGGAATACTTAGAAATTACCCTCAACATGAGAGTGATGATCAACAAAATGTTTCGATAACCCCAAAACGTCGTTAGGTAAACAAACAAAATGATAGATATTCAACCACCTGGACGACTTTGACCGACATAAAGCAGAACATGAAGACTTAGAGATGTAAGAAACACACCCTTTTCACCATAAACTTAAAACCACAAAACTAAAACAAGTAACTAAAAAATCCCGTCAATGAAAATAAATAAATTCTTTTAAAGATAGAAGGCATAGGCATAGTTCTTTCTATCTAGAAACAACTAAGACAGTGATTCAAAAAGAAAAACACTCAAAACAAACCCTTTAATAAAAAAAGGAAAACCCAAAAACCCTTTATGGAAATGGAAAGTACGAAGCAGATCCAACAACCAAATTCAACAGAAAGGCACGATCTTGCAGGCAAGCAGATCAATCAAATACTGTGGCTATTTGGAATAAAAGACATGAGGCAAGTAAGATCACAAGTACCTGATTCATGGGTGATTTGAGAGAGGGATCTGTGAGCTTTGAAAGAAAGCAAAGAGAGACAGTATGCGTACGAAACAGGAAATGCGAAGGACAATAGTAAGGTCAAGAAAAGATTCTGAAATTAAAACATGAAAATCGTTTTTTTTTTTAACCTATTGGTTTAATTGATTAAATTTGTTATCAACAAATTTTGGGTTCGTATCCTGTCTTATATATAATTATTTATTAGAATTATTTCAAATGTTTAATTTATATTTATTTATTTTAAGTTATTATATATAATATATCTTATATTTTGATTTAAGATATTAAATAATTTATTTTATTTTAATTTTAATTTTTAAAAAATATCGTTTTTTTTTTTTATTTAGGTCTAAAGTTTAAACTCTTTTTTATTGTAAAATAATAAAATATATGTCTATTACTCCGTTTCTTGTTAAGTTGGACCATCAAAACATTATTTTTTTTGTCAAAAATTAAAATATGATTTTGGAAATTACTTTTTTATTTAATATATTATTTCACTAAAATTAAAAAATACTATGTTAATTATATTTTTGTTGAAAATTTAAACATTGGAGATATAAATATACATATTTTTTATTCAAAATTATTAGAGACTAAAATTAAAAATTTTAGCATTTGATCAATAAATTATATGTATTTTGGCATTAAGTAATGCTTTTTAATATTTAGTTGGTTATTCTTTAAGAAAAAAAATATTTGATTGGTTAGATTTACTTGATATTTTTATTTTTTTATTAAAAAAGCACATTGAAAGTCACCTTTTCAAAAAATTTTTTTTTTAATTTTGTTTTATTTTGTTATACTTAAAACATTATAATTTAAGTTTTGATCATTAAAAATTAATATTTTTTGAAATAACACATAACTTAACTTTTATTTAACTCTTTTAAAAATTCATAAAAAACTCTTTTAAAAATTAAACCGTACAATAGATTAAACTACCATTGACTTAACTCTTTTAAACATTAAAATAAATAATGGTGAAAATTAACTAGCTATTAAAAATTAAAATGCTTATTTACTCTTTGTTTTTACTATTTTTATTTTACCTTTTTAAATTTTGCTAGCCAATAAAAAAATAAAGGGTAAAATGCTAATTAGTCACTCAACTTTAAAGGATTTTCTTAAAATAATCATTTTAAATATTAATTTTTTAATTTAATCATTTAAGTTTAAGTAAATTTTTTTTTATTTAGTCGTTAATGATTAACTACTTGTTGATATGATGCTGTTACATCAATTTTCAAACGTAACATAATATTGTCACGTCATTGAACAAGTTATGTGTCATTGTTGACGTGGCAATGTAAAACTTAAAAAAAATAAATTTTAGCCATTTAACTTTTTAAAATGTTTATTTTGGTCACTTAACTCTAGAAATTTACAATTTAATCATTAACAAATAAGATTTCAAATTTTATAAAAATAGTATTTGATATTTTTATTATATAGAATTAAATTATAATTTTTTATTTTACTGTAATTATATCATTTAAATTTGAAAAAAAATTATCTACTTGCAAAAATTACTAAAATAATATTATTTTACAATTTTGTCATTTAGCTCATCCAAACTCAATTAAATGTTTCATATTTGATAATATCAAGAATTAGTTTTAATTTTATGTAATAAAATATTAAAGAAAATATGGATAATAAAATCAAATAAAAATAATTTATTAAAATAGATTTAACAAACCATTAGTGATTAAATCATTATAAATTTACGTTGAGTGTGATGGCTACTAATTAGTAATTTCATAAACAATGGTGATCAAAATGTAAAATTTAAAATAATTACTTAAATTTATTTGAATTAAATAAACGATAAATATTTAAAATAATAATATTTTAATAAATTTGACAATTGATTAATATTATTTTATTTTTTAAAATTTAAATAGTATAATTATAATAAAAATAAAAGTATATAATTTAATTTCATACAACAAAAAAATTGAATGTTTATTTGTATTTTTTATAAAATTCAATAACTTATTAAAGTATTATTCTAATATATTTCAATGGATAACATAAGTAATAAATAATTTATTATATTAAATTTCTTAAAAGTTAGTGATAAACTCATTATATATTCACAGAAACAATGAATTATTGAAGATAAAAACTAAAATATTAATAAATTTTATATTTCATAATGTTAAAGTTTTAATTATAATAAATTTATGTTATTTATATATTTTTAATATTTTATTGCATGAAGTTAAATTTATGAACTTTGTTATAGTTAAAATCTTGACATTATAAAATATGAAATACTTACTTGAATTATTCAGATAAACTGAATCATAAAAATTTGAATTAATGCTAATTTAGTAATCTTACTATTAGATAATATTAATTTATTTTTTAAATTTAAATGATATAATTACAATAAAATAAAAAATTATAATTTAATTCAATGAAATAAAAATATTATTTCTATTTTCTTATTAAAATTGAGGAATTATTTGTTAATGACTCAATTATAAAATTTTAAAGTTGAATGATCAAAATAAAAATTTTTAAAAATTTAAGTGATTGAAATTTATTTATTTATTTTTTAATTTATAATGCTACTCCACCAGTGATATATATCTTGCCACATGAGGTGACAGTTTCACGTGACACTTAATAAGTGATTTGATACTGTTACATTAGCATGTTATTAGTTATTAATGGCTGAATAATAAAAATATTTATTTAAATTTAAATGATTAAATTAAAAAATTTAATATTTAAGTGATCATTTAAAAAGATATGTAAAGTTGAGTGACTATTTGTATATTTTACCCAAAATTAGTCAAACAGGACATTTCACCATATCGAGTCCCTCTCTCAATTTCTATGGTGGAAGCGAATGAGCATTGGCGTCCAAAGCAAGCAGCGCCTTCTTCCAAAGCCTGAAATGATACATCAAGAAGGCATGGGAGATAACCGGACTCTTCGCTGATCCAGAATACAAAAACGCTTTGCCAAAAGCCACGAAGTACAGAGTTCGCTGCTCCCGCCACCACTTTGCAAAAGCCCAACGTCCCAACCTCTGACCCCGAAACCGTCTTCGACATCAAATATTACACCCGCGATCAATGCCGCAACCGCCATACCATCTTGAAGAATGCTGATGTGGAGAAGATGATGAAAGAGAAAACTTTTGATGTCAAACGATTTTCCCATCTTTTTACTTGACTGCTAAAGTTGAAGAGGATGATAATGCCACTGGTGAAGGTTACCAGGTCAGATTTTGGAAATTTTAAAAATTGTTTTTTTATAATTTGAGGCTTCATTTAAATTTTTTTTTTTGGAAAAAGAAAAAATTCTTTGATTTAAAATTCAATAATCATTCGCACTCTTATTATTTATTTTAATTAATTAAAATTTTAAATATTTATTTTTATCAATTGAGCCCTTACGAGAGAAAAATAATTAACAGTTTTCGTATAATTTATAGTTTAATTGAGTGAAAATAAATGAATAAAAGTTAATTAATTAAAATAGATGTTTAAGAGTTCAATTATTTAAAATAGAAAATTCAAGATTTGGATTGATTGTAATAAAATTTTATGATTAAATGATTACTGAATTTTTATTTAAAGGTTTTTTTGATCCATTATATCTATAATATTTTTATAAATTTGATGTTTTAAAGATTTGGGTATTGGTAAATTTCTTGTTTTGAGATATCGTGATTGGTTTCTCACTATTGCTATGTGTGATTTGGGCTTTTGAGCAGCTGGGATTTAGCTGGAATTTGATTGAGGCTTGATTATGAGTTACTGTATGATTATGCAGAAGTGAAGGTATTGGAACTAGATGACTTCTAAGGTTATTAGTTTCTTTTTTATTTCTGATTGATATAATGCAGTTTGGAATACTTATTTAAGGCTTTAGACTTATGAGTATAAATGTGGAGTAATTATCTTTTGCTTTGAGTTTGAAGGAGTTAGTTAGGGTCAGGTTGAAATCTCTCTCAGTTTTTGGCAATGTTTCTTGGCAAGATGCGTGATACTGCTTTGTTTAATGTTTATGATGTTTGGTTTTTGATGAGCATGGATGGTTCTGCTGCTATGAATTTGAATGGGAGTGATTTGGTCCTGTGGTATTCTAAATCACACGGCCTTGACTCTTGAAGGTTTTCCTATTCTATCAGGCTTAAGAAAGCTTTGTTTTGGGTGGGATTTGGGTTATCATGAGATTTAGATATTGGTATAAGGATGTTAAAGTTTGAAGGTAACGTCCTATACTTCTAAGAAATCTTGCATTTTTTTTTTATGCACTAGATGTTTTTGAGTGCATTTCTTCATACACATAGGTTTTACACGGTAGTCGTTTTGTATCTGTCCCATTTTATTGGCAAATTGGGATTATGGCTTAGTGACATCAAATTCATAGTGGTGGGATTGGGTGAATGAAAGGTAGGATATAATTTGTTAATTCATGACAAAATGTTCTCTCTCCTTTCTGTCTCTTTGGGAAAAAGAAAAACTGTTTAACTCATTAAGCACTATTTGATACTTCTATCATGCTGAACTCTGTTATCATGTGATGTGAAAGGAAGTGGAAAAAGCAGTGACCATATTTTTTATGCATATTGCCTTTCAAAATATGCTTTTATCTTAAGCTTCTAATTTATGTAAGTTGTAAAATGCTCATGCTGTTGTTTATCACAACTAGCCTTGTACATGGTGCATTTTAGCACAGTGTCTTCATTTTTCAAGAAGAAAAAAAGAAAGCAAAAGCATGAATCAATTTTTGCACTGGGCATTAGCTCAATTTGTATGGGGCATCATGGGTTGGGAGTATAGATGGACCGAATGTCAAATCCTATTGAACTTTGGGTAAAAGCCCTAACCTATGGACC